GATTGATTTTAAAAACTATTTCCAATCAGGACCCATTTTGTTTAAAAAACTTAGTTTTGGAAACTTATGGCCAACATACTTAAGACTGCAAGTGGTACTGTTAAAAAACCGTATGGGTTCTGGCACAGGAAATAAAATAACAACCTTTTTCATTTGATATTTGCTGCTGAATAAAGATATACAGTCCTACAGATGAACATTTGCTATTCACTTGCCCATATCCATCTTCTGTCTCCCATCTATTTTCATTAAATGTATTCATGTTACCCTTTAAAGTTAATAAGCATAATCTCTTAATAGAGTAAACTTTAGTATTTATTTCATATTTGTTACTAACTAGGTACATATATATAGAAAGGACAAGGAGGCACAGGAGTATAATAGGAATGAAAGACATACAGCATGTGTTTGTTGCTCTGAAAGAATCACAGTCTCTTACGGAAAACCTCACATACAGTGACTTGATAGCCACTGTGAAAACTGAGAGGGAGGAGGCAGTTTTGCCTGTGAGGTCACTTAAGTGCTTCCCGGAGAAGGTACAGTCCTACAGGTAAGAGAAGCTCACCCGCCCAGCAGCAGGAAGGTAGGCAACCCACCAGATGGAAACAAGCCCCACAGGCCAAAGGCCAGAAGTGGGAAAAGGCATGATGACCTGAGACAGAATGCACACCCCTAGGTTTCTGTAAAACTTTCTCAACCTTTTGCCTCAAGCATCTCCATAATAGGTTCTGTTCCCAAGAAAAAGCCCTCCTGCCAGCCAAGCCCATGTGACTTTCCTGAAAACTCCTGAGGCCATAATGAAAGATGCCTTCATGATCCTTTTATCATTTGCATTCCTTGGTGACAGAAGGCAAATTTGAACACAACCATATGAAGCTGGAAAGGAACTGGCTTACTCTCACTACTGATTCACTCCATAGAACCAGTATTTGTAAAGGATGTGAACTCTGAAAGGGTTTTCCTCCCTTAACGGAAGATCTATTCTCTCTCTGACACATAAGCAATTTCATTGGAACATTCAGGCTTCATCCCTCTGATAGCTACTGGAGCAGGATGATTCAAGAGGGGCCTAGAAAGGGCTGATTACCTAGGCCAGTGGCGGCAAACCTATGGTACGTGTGCAACAGCAAGCTGTTTATTATCACTGAAAGCTCGAAAAGTTTCGCCATCACTGAGTCAGGCTGACAAGTCACCAAATCCACCTCAACTCAAGATTGACAAGTCACAGCTTCTGTGGACATGCTAGTCTCTTTATCTGCAATGGGTGATGTTTGTTTTTATGTAGCTTGGTCATGAGTAAATTTAAGTTTCTAGAAGTAACCACAGCCAATTCTCCCTTGCTAATGAGAACTGGTGCAGCTGTGATGTGGAACATAAGGGGAACTGAAAAGCCACAATGTGGATGATTTATATATAAACTACAGGGTTTCTTAACCACTAATAATGTTTTAATACTAAAATTAGTTTGCATTTCCTAAACAGACACTGACTGGTGACAAGGCATCTCTTTGGGTTAGAAAGAGATAATGTCACTTCAGGAAATGTTTTCTGTTTGTATTTTGGTAGTGTTTCTTTGGTTTTCCTTTGATTCTTCCCTCCAGCTGTCCAACATCCCACTAACTGCTGTGACTTCACAGATGTGCTTGCAGGTAATGGCTCAAGGAAAGCCTGTGGAGAAATCTGTGTCGTACTAGTGAATACACTGCAAAGCTGAGAGGAGTCCTCTGCAACCTGTTCCATGCTTGTTCCTGTCTCCAGGAAAATGGACTTTGAGACCAGCGGTGGGTGGTAAGTGAGAGGGAGGTGGCAAGCAGCCTCAGGGAGTCTAACAGCTCAGCTATCTGCCAAGGGCACTGTCGATGCCCACGTTTTGTCCATGACGTCCGATTCCATCGCTGCTGTCAGATTACAGCTGGAGGAAGGTTCTGATGAGTTTCTTGCTTAACACTTAACATTCTTCTGGGGTCACATTTCTTTTTAAAGCAGCCAGTGTCGTCTCTGAGGTAAGGATCAGGATGTGGAAATCACAGCTGGGAAGGTTTCCCTCCCTGGCTCTCTCCTAATGATCCCACTCATCTGTAGCAGCATCTCTCTGCACACAGGAGCAGTGATGGGCTGCCTGAACTCACCCTGCCATGCTTCATTCTCTCATCCAGTGCCAGTGTGAGTAGCAACTGCCTTGTGATTCCTGGCATTTCCAGTGAAAACAGAGGTGCCAAGCTTTCCCAGCTGGGCCTTCAACACAAAAGCATCATGGTTTCCCCTCCGCCCAGTTATCACACCTTCCTTGGTTCCATCCCTTTCCCATCCAGGAGTGTTGGCCGACAAACCTGTGTTCATCCTGAGAAAACACATCCTTCTCTGAAAAAAAAGGCTGAACAGCAGCTGATGAGGGTGCTGTGGGAACTGCTTTGCTGGAGTGGCTTGGCCCAAAGGGGTCCTGAAGGCAGGCATCTCCACTGCTTCCTCCAACACAGAGGCATGGCATAGCCAGGCCATCTGAATTCCCACAGTAAAGATATTCCTTTTTTAACCACCTTACCTGTGTAACAACTGTTCAGGACTTAGGACCGGGGGTGCTGTTTGGACTTATGACCTGCCACTCGAACTTATGACCCATCTTTATTTTTGTTTTGTTTTGCTTTTGGGGGGTACAGTACTGTACATCTTGTTTATAGAGCCTCAATCTTGTTTTTGTACGGTATACCTTGTTTACACAATAGTGTAATTTTCTGATTGTATTGTAGTTTTACATATAGTTATACATTATAGTACTGCATGTTAAGAGTTAAGCAAATAAAGGCAAAGTCAACAAGTTGGAGCTTTCTTTGACTATCTTTGTTCTGAATAATCTAACAGACATACTATACACAATTTCTCATTTATTGACCAATTCATTTAATTACCTAGTTGCAGGAACGTTAACGTTTAATGGCTGTTAAATGAGGAATGTTTATACAGAACTTGAACTTTTACTAGGCCTTGTCCCAGACTCCTGAATCCAAACTTGTATTTTTATAAGACCCTAAGTGAATTTCAAGCGCATTACAGCTCAGTAGCACTAATTCACTCAACTAGACCTACAACTCACTGCTAAGTCTGGTCAGTTGGCCTATTTTTCTAAATCAAGTTTTACTAGGACAGTCACATTTGTGTATGGCTTGGTGATGAGTGTTTTCACACTACAATGGAACAGCTGAGTAGCGACAACAGAGATTGTAGCCACAAAGCCTGAAATGGTTCTCTCTGGCTCTTTATAGAAAAAGTTTTGGAGTTCCAAGACTACACTGTAGACTCTAAGAGTGAGAACCTTATCTTATTCTGCTTAATGAGTTAAAAAAGGTGATTAGTATAGTAGCTCTGTATGTAGGCTTTGCAGCAGATGAGATTTGTATCTAAGCTCTACTATTTCCTCTAAAATAACTTAAGCCACAACCTCTCTGCGCCTCATCCCCATCTATAAAATGGGAATAGGCAACAGCAAGCAAGATGTTAGAGCGACCCAAAGGTCTGTCGGTGGGTAAATGATGAACAAAGTGTGTCACATCCATACAGTCTGGATGACCCTGGAGGAAAATATGCTAAGTGAAATAAGCTAGTTGCAGAAGAACAAATACTGCATGGTCTCACTTATAGGCAGTTATATAAATTCACTGAAGCAGAAAACAGAATGGTGATTCTCAATCTAACACCACCATCCAGTGAGAGCAGGAAGGGGAAATAGGAAATTGCTATTCAAGGGGCATAAACTTCAGTTATACAAGATGAAAAATCTCTAGAGATCTGATGTACAACTGTGCTATGTGTAGTTAGCAACCATGTACTATACTCTGCAGTCTAAGATGGTAGATCTCACTTTATGTGTTTCTTTACAATGACTTGGACATTTCAAAATGGGAAGTTGGGGTAGCTTGTATTCATTTAAAAATGTTCATTTTAAATTGAACACAATCTGAGCATCTACATGATCCTCTGCTCAGATTCAAGAGTATATTTTTCTTTTGGATTTTGTAAAACCTCATCTAAAAACATGAAAATAAAAATGTGGGCTATCTGTGATGATTAAGTACAGCTTTCTTGAGCTCAAGTAAGCAAGAGCAAGGATCACGTTTACAATCTGACAGAAAAGAACACAGTATCCCTCTCTTCTTTTTATTAATAGAGGTGTTATTTAGAAGAGAGAAAATGCTTTCATCTCATTTCAAATATTAAAATTCTGACAAGTGAATAAAACTTAGTCACAAATAGATGAAAAAAAGACTTCTGGGTTAATGCTTCATTCCCGTGGGAGCTTCTTTTCCTGACACCTGTGGCTCTCTACCAAACACTGCTCTCTCCTTGTCTGGACCTGCCACCCACATGTGTAGGTTGCTGATTATATCCTTGGTGAGATCCATTCCTTCCCTCCTGGGTAGAAGGAGGGTCTGAGGACAGCTTGTCTTTTTGGGACAAGCAGAAGAGGTGGGGTCTCTTACATAACATGAAATATGAGGAAGTTCTTTGGGCTGGAAATGTCAAGAGATTCCTTAGTATTCACTGCCGAAGGGAATGCAGTGTGTCAGCTTAATGACCTACTGAATTTGTGTCACAGTTGAGCCAGAATTGGTAGCACACTGAAGCAACACGGGAGGCTTGCTACACATGAGGGGCAAGTGTGGGGACAGAGGGCAGCAGAAACTGGGCTGCCTGTCCTCTCCATCCAGAACAGAATGGCCTGCACTGAGGCAGATGTAGGGTGCTCAGCCCTGAATGCATCACTCCAGGTGCAGACGCTGAGCCACCTCTGCCTGTCAAAGTCTAGGCTGGGAGATGTTTTGAGAACATCAGAGCCATTTTGTCATGGTCACAATGAACTTTTAAGGCCAAAGGGGTCATGAGACCTTACCTCACTCATCCCCTTGCTTTGGCAAGAACAATATAGCTAAGCCTCCAGTCACTCCAGGATATGACTGATGGTTAAGGGTTTGGGGTGTGGGAGGGAAAGTAACACAATTTTACAATTTTTTTTTCTACAAACGATTTTAATTGTGTGCTTATCACCTACTTGAGTCTAAAAGAACTCTAAACTGGTCCTTGATGGCCCACCCCATTCTCACCAGAGTAACTCCAGGAACCTTCTCCAGGTGGGAGGAGCTTATGGTTCCTGAAAGCAGGGCTGAGGGGACAGTGATGTATGTCCCAGTGGTACCCCAAAAACCTCTCCTGCCAGTCACTCACATGCATTTAGTGGGCAGCACTTCCCTGGGACTCTGTCTGCCTCCTTTTCTATCATATCAGCAGTTCCTCTGAACTGTTCCATCTTTCTAGGGAACAATACAATGCACAGAGCACCTTTACCTCCATGCTGTGTTAAGACTAGATCCTTAAGGACCAGGAAGCAAAGGCTGTTCTCTGTACATCTGCTATTACTATCTGTTCAGAATAAAAGTTTCCTGCCAAAGATTTGTGAAGGAGGCCCCTTATCCCCCAGCTTTCTATTCTCTGGCCTTTCTCATCCATGTAGCCAGAGCTTTCCTTTCTCTTTGGAAACACTGAGGCTGAATACATAATGCCATGTGATTTTGCTGAAGACAGAGGGAAAGTCAGAAATCCAAATGCTCAAGGGCTCTTGAGCAGGGGGCTGGGAGGAAAGCTCATAAAATCTGTGGTGCAACTCCCTTTCAGGAAAGGGTGTGCAGGGCAGGGCGGATTTACCAGAAGCTCTGGCAGTTTGCTTTGAAGCCTTCTGGACAGGAAAAGGGTAGCCTCCCAGGAAAGCTGCCTTCATGACATCTCCATATGGCTGCTAGGCTGAAAAACAGCCAATAAGCGAGATGTCCCTTGAGAAATATTTTTCTTCCATCTTCTTTTAGAATTGTGAGAAAACTGGGTAGGATTTGGGGTACTTTCAAGAGTGGCCCTGAGTGACTTTTCAGTTCAGGTAGAACAAAGCTCAAAAGATTATTTTCTCCTCCAAGGAAACCTGGCTTTAGTTTTTTCCTCCCTGTTCTATCCAGAGCTTGTGTGTTGGTGAATTAGGCACACATATGCACAGGGCCAGGCTTGTGGCAAACAATCTTAGGGAGCAAGGCAAAAAGAGAAGGAAAGGAGCTCAATCCTTTATTTCATAGCTTCCTCCTTCAAAGCAAACAGGATCTACCTATTAGCAACAACCCACAAAAAGCTACAGAAATGGCTATACATACAATTGATATATATATAGATCCCCTTGTCACCTGCAACAACTGGAGTACGACCAGGAGAAGTGAGCCACTGAAGTGCAGGCCTTCTGAGCCACACCCCAGTCCCCAGGGCATAGGTGTTCTGACAGGACACGGGGGCTGAGTAAGTTCCCTTGCCTGACCTTGGGAGAAGGCGTGAGTAGCCCCACTAAGAGGGGAGACCCGTCCTCTTGGGGCTGTGTGGGGCATCTGAGGAGGTGGTGGTTGAGGCAGAGTCTTCAGCAGAGGCACAGAGACCCAGGAACTCCAGGATGATGTCACCAAGGCAGAAAATCAAATGTCTGAAACAAACAGATGCACAACTTAGAGAAGGGCTGGCTCAGTCACAAACAGGATCCTGTGTATCCTTCTCTCTCCCCCAACCAATATTGATGATAAACTGAACAGCAACACTTTGATGAACAAACTGCCATGAAATCAATGCAAAACTGCTAAAGGGAAGAATAATACTTGAAACTATATTTTTACAAATTTCGACTTCTTTTTACATAGTTAAGTTAGCACATCTGCACTACCCTGAAGAACTACGAAGGAAGATCCCCATGATGTTAGTCACTGACCACCGGTTTCCACAATTAATCACAGTAGGTCTACAGGTTCACTTACAGGAAGTGAGGCAAAGCCAGGATCTTTGAGGAGTAGGAGTCAGAGATACACTCCACTTTGGGGTAGGACTTGAGAGAGGGGTGCAGGAGTACCTGAGACTTTCCAAAAGCACTTCAACCTAAGGGATGGAGCCCACCTCTTCTGAATTATTCTTGCAGTTTTCATCCATCCTTTCTGGTCCCTTTATTAGGGTCCAACCTTACTATCTTCTCTGTTTCATAGTAAGCAAAGACAACTCCTGATCCCAGCACTAGTCACAGCTTTGCTGTGAGGCCAAGAACTTCTGCTGGCAAATCACTGTATGGGAAGTACAGGCCAGGATGTGTTCTTGCAGCGTTAACACAGGCTGGCTGGTGTTCGAAAGAAAGAACTGTTAGGCACACTGAATGAGCCTAAAGGGATTTTCAATAGCTCGTGTGAGGCCCTGCACTGAGTTGCCCAGACATAAATGGTGGCTGGCCCAGCAGTAGCTACCTACCCAAAATCACCAGCTCTGAAGCCTGAACAGTGGAGTTTACTTAGTGTGTGTGGGAGCCAGACATTAGCTGCTGTGGTCAAGGGTCCAGAACAAGGCAGGTCAAGCCTACTATCCTGTTCCTCTGAATATAGGTTTCCACGCAGAAACCCCAAATACCTCAGATGGCTTCTCTGCAGATGGTGTAGAGTACATGCATTTTAGCCTACCTGTTGATGAGGGGTTGCTGTAGGGACTCCAAAACAAGCCTCCAGCTCAGCTGGCATTTGTTCACTCCTAGGATTTCTACTAAAAAATCTGATGAGGGAAAAATATAGGATTTTTGTGTTACTACTGAAGTCTTACAGAAGGAGTATACAGTATATGCCATCTTATACAGGTTGGGCATTGCTGGCACATCTCCAAACCACATAGCCAAACTAAAATCTCACACTACAGAGAAAAGCCAAAAGAAATATGTTTCTTAAGTTAGGTACCTAAATAAATGGGGTCGCAAGCAATAATTTTGTAACCTGCTGCAAAAGTGCAGGTACTACTTCTGAGGTGACAATTTAGGCTGGAGCAGAGAGGATTAGTAAGGGTAAATGATACTCATGGTCCAGCACTGAGTTTACTACTGTTCCCTGGCTACTACTGCCTTCCCCGCTTTCTAAAACAACACAAAGGAAGAAATAGTTTCCAGTTATGTCTCTAACTCATCAAGTCTGAGTTTATGCAGGATGTGTCATGTTTTTCCCTGGTCCCTGAACACCATGAGCTATCCAAGAACTCGGAGCCTTCAGCTGTTAAGAATGGCTCTGAGACCTGCACCTGCAGGCACTGCTTCCTCAGATCTGCTTTCGAGTTTTTACCCCAAATATCTGCAGGATTCTGCCCTGGTATTGAGGTAGGGTACAGCCGAAGTGATTCACTCCATTCCCTTGCCATCCCCTGAGTGAGGAATGAAAGAAGTCCTGCCTCGACCATTTTCCTATCAGTCTAGTTTTTGAGCCTAGTTATATTCTAGGCCCTTTTGAAAAAGGGGAATGGTGTAGGATAATAGTGGCACAATGGGAGAGGAGGAAAGAGCTATAAGTATATTCAGTCTCATTGGTCATTACCTGGCAGGATTCCCATAAGGCTCTGCAAAGCCTGTTTCTCAGTAGCCACCTTCTGGTCCTGAGTCCTCACAGGTCGTGGAAGCTTAGGCAAGACTCCACCGGGCCAGATGGACTCTTGAAGAAGCTGGAGGTACTGCACCCAGTGCTGTGGACATGTTAGATTAGCCACCTGCACCTCTAGCCACCTGTGGTGGAAGAGAGAAGGAAGCTCAGATAAACTAGAAGGCAATGGCACAGTGAGGCAATGGGCCGCATGACTGTGTCCCCATAGGTTCACAGGTTGAAATCTGAACACTCAAGGTGGCAGTATCACGAGGTGCAGACTCCCGAGAGGTGATTAGGTCATGGGAGCAGAGCCCTGGAGAAAGCAACTTAGTGTCCCTATGAAAGAGATCCAAAACAGATCCCCCACCCATTCTACCATGTGCGGACACAGGGAGAGGAAGACACTCTATGAACAAGGAAATGGGCCCTCACCAGACAGTGAATCTGTCAGAGCTTGGATCTTGGACTTTGCAACCTTCAAACTGCAATTTTATTTTTGTTGTTTATCGGCCACCAGTTTATGGTATTTTCTTATAGAAGGCCTACCCTACTGGGCTAAGCATGAATCATGTGAGCAATCAGAATGAGGCAAATCAAAGTCAGCACTAACAGTCACAATGAAAACCAAGCCAATTCAATAGCTGAGATCACAGAATTTGAAGATGAGCAACAATAATAACAGTGTTATTTACTGAGTGTTCACAATGAGCCATGTATTGCAGTCAGGTTTTTCAGAACAGGGTGTTAAGGTGTTAAGGTGTTAAGGAGGGCTGCACCTAATATTTGTAGCTCTCTACCAGTGGGAACATTTTAACTGCCTTACTGTCCTGCACCACAGCCTTCAGAGTAAGAGCTTGGTGATTTTTGCACAAGAAGCCCCTAACCCTCTCTTGTTGCTCTGGCATACACAGGCCTCCTCATAACCTTTGCAGTTCTATAACCTGGAAGAGGCCCTCTTTTTTGCTGGTGAGGCCCTCTTTTCTCTCCTGAAATTGAAGTCTTGCTTTAACCTCCCCTCCTCCACAAAACCCTTGTAGACTAGCCTAGCCAGAAGTACTCTCCTGCCTAGACCTCCTTCGGCACTTAGCATTGTAGCATAGGTTTGAAACTAGTATTTTACTTTGGAATACGAATGCATAGAGCTTTCAACTGAATTATAAGTGCCTTAAGAGTTCTACATCATGATTCTCTTAAAAATGTACCAAAGTGTGTTAGTGCTCAAGAAATATTTGCTGACTGCTCACAACTGTTTTCATTATAATAACTGCTTCCCTTTTGTTTCGCCATCAAACATTAGTCAGTAACTCTGACAGGCAGATATATCAAATCTGGAAGGTGTTTCAGCATTACTCTCTTTTTGTCTCAGCATTTTTCCAGACTGGCATGGTCACTAGCTGAGGTGACTGTCGAGGTCTCCTTTACATGCCCTGCATTTGAGACTGCCATGCCTACTCCAGTCATGAATGGACCCTCAACTGCTTCTACTCATGTCCAGAAGACCGTTTGGGACCACAACACGTGGCTGCTCATGCCAATGCTCCTATACCCAAATTACTTGTCACCCATCCAAGAGCAGAGGGAGCTGCCAAGGCAAACTTTATTTAACCACCACTATGCCAGACAGTCTGCATTCCACTCAAGCTGGGCATTCCAGTTCTGGGGGCTACAATCCCCCAAGCCCAGGGCTCACAAATGATTCTAAGAATAGCAAATCTGAAAGGTAATAGCAGGGAAGGAATGGCAGACCTTGATGGAGATCAAGTGCGGCACAAAGCTCCTCTTACCCAGAATAGCCCTCACGATCGTGTCTGTTATTATTAGGGCCACGTCTCCTTTTCACAGGGCTTTTCATTCAGCGAGGCTAAGCCACCTGATGAGAGGGGATCCAGTGGCACAAATTCCTGTTCCTGTTTATAGAAGAGGGTCACCAAAGGGAGGTGGCTGCGATGACCTGATCAGGTTCTCTGCGGAGATCAAGTGACCCACGGGCTCCCTTCCTCACCTCAAGCCACGGACAAGCCTGTGTTTTTGCTAAGCTGAACAATTCGTATGAGGCTGTCACCTAAGAGACTTGAGGGGGAGTGGTAAAGTCTTGCAAACTTAAATCTTCAAAGACCCCGAAGAATCTTAGAGCTAGACACACTCAGTCAGAGGTAGTTCTAGCCCAGCTTCTCACTCTACAATGTAGATAATAAGCCACTTTGCCCTTATTTCTGTCCTCTGGAGTCAAGAATGCCAGTGACTGAAACTCCTCCTCAAGGCTATCAGCATGCACACAATTCTTCCTAGACTCAGCATTATACGACAGCCCATCTAGGTACCTCAGTCATCTGGGTATGTCTGATAAGACAGAAGTTGATTTCTTTGGCATTATCATTAACCCATCCAATGGGGACAGACATGACCTTACACTGTATTATGGCAAGAATGCCCTCTGCTCTCTTCCAAGGCAAGTTAGCATCTCATATACATATGCTGGATGCCAAAGAAATTTGACAAAATATGAATGTATACAAGTCTGTAAGACTACAACTTATCGAATTCTAAGTGGGAACCCTGGGAGGAAGAACCAGAGTCTGCAAAAGCAAAATTAAACACTTGCTGATTAGAATAATTCAGTGAGTGAAGTAAGTTTGTGGAAGTTCATTAGGAGAGCTGATTGACAGGACCAAAACCTACAAATAACATATCAACTGCGAGGGGCTGGGGATTTAGCTCAGTGGTTTCGCCGCCTGCTGCGCAAGCGCAATGACCGGAGTTCAATCCCTGGTACCAAAAAAAAAAAAAACGTATCAACTGCGAATGCAACAAAGGCACCTGAGGCCCCACAGCTGGTCCACAGAAGGCCCTGGCAGTCAGACCTAGGAATGCATGAAACACGATGTGTATAAACTGAAAGAAAGAAAATAAGCTTTGGGCCTACAAAGAGGACCGACATTAGAGTGTGGCTTCCACTCACACAAGCTGAAGTGTCACCTTTCCTTGTTATTTTCCACACCCTACAGGCTACATGCTTGCACCCCATGACACCTGAGCCTTTGCTCTTTCCAGAATTCTCCTCTTGTCCAGGTTCTTCCCACACATTCCTGTCAGAAAAAGAAGGCTATTCTCCTGACATTTCGCTTCGGCCTACCTCACTTCCCAACCCTAGGCAGCCTGTGCAGAAGTCTCAGTGCAACACAGCTCTCGTGCACAGAACTTCTGAGAGTTCATCACAAATGTCATGAAAAAACCCAGACCAAGAAAACCATCACAAGCCCCTGCCCCAAAGGCCCTGCTCCTCGTGTAGTACAGCTGTTAAAATTTGTTAGTGGTCACCCAGTTGCTAAGACACACTTTATCATTACACACAATGGCAGTTTTAGCTGTAAATGGCCAGATTTGGGGATCTGATATAATTTGCCTTGCCTGACTCTTAGATAGAACCAAACATCAATGGGCTCTTGGTAACAGAGAAAAGGGTGAGGATTTCTTCATCCAAGGTGCTCTTCTCTCCTCTCCTTCCCTGCCTTCCCTTCCTTTACTGTTCTTCCCTAAAGTGAAACTCTATCTATACCACCACCACCATTTCTTTACTTAACAACTCCCTTCATTCTGCCCTATTTATTCAGAGACTGAGTGAGAACAGGGAGGGCAAAAAGCTTAGGTGCAGGAGAATTAAAAGAGACATTGACCCTTTGACCCTCCCTGTTAGCTCCCATCCTCTCTGATCCACATGTTGCCTTTCTGTTCTTAACATAGGAGTGAGAAGATTAGAAGCCATCTGTGTCCTTACAGCTCTTTGAAAGCAAAAGAGATGGAACTGATAATCAGAGGAGCTTTTGCAGCATCAGTTTCTGTTATATTTTTCAAATTGTGAGCTGTATATTACTAAAATTCACATAATCTGTTTTACTGTTTGTGGCATTATTTTAAGTGGTAATCAGTTGGTACCATTTACTCTTTGGCTAAGAAAAATCTAAAGTTTCAAGGAGGACACACACACACACGATGTCCTACTACTTACTATAAATTGCTTATAATAAACCATTAACTAAGTACAAATGCTATTGTTTATGTAATACAAAACGCATGAGGTAAATATGCTAAAATAAATATGGTAGAGAATAGCCTCAAATAACATTGGTTTTATTTTCCATTACTATTTCAGTTCTGATATTTGATTTAGGGATCCTCGCTCCTACCATCCTACCTGTATTCCCCCCAAAAGAAAGAAAAAAGCCATAGCAGGTCTATTCTGTCAAGCCATCTCTGAATGATTCAGAGCACATAAGAGCCATATGAGGGGGCCCAGAAATAGTCAACAACATGACAAGAAATTAACACTTAGACATTTAGGAGCTTCTTATATGCCAGGCATGGGAGGAAGGAGGAGATGGAGATAAGGGCTTGCCATGACACTGTGAGAGCTTTACTCCACGATCAAGGGACCTGGTCTGAAATAGTTACAGATAGAGGAATGGAGCAGCGGCTAAAAAGGAGACAGTTTAATACTAGAGCTTAAGATGGCACTTCAAGGTTAGCAGAAGGTCATTTCCCATCAAAACAAAAGAATCAAATCTCATGAGTAAGGGGAGAAGACTCAGAGACCATGTCTAATCCACTTAGCTAAACTGCTTTCACTTCTCTTCTAAGAGAGCTCTTATGGCTATATGTGTGGAAGGGTCCTGAATCAACATGGCTTCATGGGAAGAGTCATAGAGAAGGATCCTAAAATCCTAAGACAGAAAATATTCCTAAGAGCAATCACAATATCCTAACACAAATGCCCTGTGTAATCTTTCAAAATAACATTCCTTACAGCCTACTTGTCCACTGGATTGTCCACAAGAGATAACCCCTAGTGATTATGCTTCCACTTCATCCTAAGGTAATATATACAGTTCAAAGAAAAAGAAAAGGTGGTCAGGGGGAGCTGATCTTTAACAGCCCCTTATGTTGAGAGACAGCTTCTGTCATTGAAAATAAGACCTCCATTCAGAGTGTTGGCTCTTTCTACTATCCTTGAGCAGGGTTTTCAATCTTGGGACTGCTGAAGCTTTGGGCTGCTAACTCTGCTATGCAGGGCTGTTCTGTGCTGTGTAAATGTTCAGCACATTACTTCTTCCTCAGCCCCCAGTAGACATTAGTTGTGACAATC